TATTTATGTGATTTATCAATTTCTTTGTATGTATTTTGTTTTATGTCCTCTCTCTCATTTAGAATTTTATTTGGTTAATGTCGTTCTTCCCAGAATAGTTGTTAGTTATTCAAAGTGATATACAGTTCTACATGTGCTCTTTGATGGTTATAGAAATTGAGAATCATTATACAAGAATGTTCTAGTTAGGAACAGTTACCAGATTCTTTCCAGTATTATTTATTTATTTTATTTATTTATTTATTTATTTTTATTTTTATTTATTTTTTTTTTTTTATTAATTAATTTATTTATTTATTTATTATCTCACAGATTTTATATTTCTTTAAGCTTTTGGTTTCCTGCATTTCAAGAGCAAGTATGAAAGACATTATCTTTATTGTTCCATTATTATGATCTTTAAAAGATATCATAGGTTTTAGTTGCAGTGAGATCTGTTTCACTAGTGATTTTAACTCAAGATTTCTTATCTACTTAAGGCAGATATTATTGACAAGTAGTTCTGCTATAAAACAAAACAAAAAATCATTTTAGCCTAATTACATATTATTTCTATAAGTATATTATACTTGTTTGTGTCTAAGTATGTGTATGTTTGTATCAACTTCCCAGTTGCTGAGGTTATAAAGGTTCATGATTTTTACTATAGAAATTTTCTTTCTTTTTTTTTCTGCTCATACCTTTCACATTAAATTTGTATTTTTGCTGTTATTTATTTTATTGCCGCTTTTATCATCATCGTCATCATCATCATCATCATCATCATTTATAATGATTTTGAGTTGATCACATAGTAATTTATAATTATTATTGCTGTTATTAGTTATGACATTGCTGTTTTGTCTACAGCTATTATTGTTGTTATTGATATTATTATTATTGTAATTATTACTATTATCATTATTAGTATTACCATCGTCATCATCATTGTTATTATTTTTTATATTATTACTATAATCATCATCGTCTCCATTACTCCATTACCGAATACAGAGATGTCTTTGTTTTTGAGTGTATTTTTGGTATTGTATCTATAGTAATTTTCTACTATATTTTATTATTGTTGTCAGTGTTGTTATTCAAATTATTTTTTATTCTTATTTTTGTTTCTTCTTTTATTATTATTATTATTATTTTACATTATATATTATAATTGTTGTTAATGTTACTGTGTTTGTTATTATTATTATTATTATTTTACATTATATATTATAATTGTTATGAATGTTACTGTGTTTGTTATTATTATTATCATTATTGTTATCATCATCATCATTGTTATTATCATTGTTATTAATATTCTTATTGTTGTTATTGTCATTGCATTATTATTATTATTATTATTATTATTATTATTATTATTCCTGGTAGCACTCGCTTATGATTCTCTTGTGAGACAGAAAAGCAATTCAGGTGAATATATTAGTCTTAAACCTTTTACCCTTTGACTGCATTAGGCAATTTTGGCCACAGTTCTAAATTAGCTGCACTTAAACCTTTCCTGTTTTCCTACACAGTGTCTATGAGCCTGTTTTGCCCAAGTGCTGCTCTCCAGGAAGGCAGAGAAAGTGACAGGCTAGCAATGAGTAATTAACTATTATAATTGATATATATGTATTCACAGTGCATCATCCTGCAGAATACATAATGATTTCTTGTGAAAGATAGGTTGAATTTCAGGCTTCAAGATTTGAAAAAAATGTTTTAGTAAAGTCATTCCCAGCTGCCAATAAGTCAGTTAGTATGTCTTTGTGACCTCACCAGATTTCCCTTTTCCTTGAGTTTTCAGGATTTTTTTTTTTTTTTTTTTTTTTTTTTTTTTTTTTTTTTGATACTATTTATAACAAAATTGTTATTATTATGCTATTAACCTATTTGCCCTGGATTTATGTTCTGGCTCCTGTAGTTTTTGGCTCCACATGTGCTCAGGCAGCAAGGAGTCTATCAATAGGCCCTAGTTACCGATCCTAATTTTCCCATTCCTTGAATTGGCGGGAAAATGTTTTTTCTTATTAATACCATTACTATCAATGTTATGATGTTAGGATTATTAAATTGTTGTTAAAAATTTTTAGACAATGAAATGATACAAAAGACCCTTTCCTAAAGTGAAGGAAAAGGGTAAACAGGTTAGATAGGCAGTTCTGATAAACTGGCTATTTCGTGATTAAGAACTTGTAGAGCCATCTATGTGTAAATACAATAAATAAACGTGTATAGCAGTGGGCATGGCATGTATTCTTGCCACATGGGGCGAATGGGTTAACTTTACTAATGGCAATATGTATGTATGTATGTATGTATGTATGTATGCACATATATATATATATATATATATATATATATATATATATATATATATATATATATATATATATAATTAGGGAAAGGTGTAAACAGGTTGAGAAAGACAAGACTTATAATTATATCCTTGATGACTCAGCACTTATGGAACCATTTTTGTGTAAACACAGTTGAAAAACTGAAATTACAGTGGATATGACTTGTGGGTTAAGAAGGTTATAGGGGAATGACTGTAAAATCCAAGGCTGCAGTCAAAAGGCTAAGCATGTGCCACCACATTTTGATCTGATGTGGGACATCAGATCACTAAACAGTCATTTCTATTAAACTCTGATCTAGTTTGCACAGAATATGAATATTTTTGGAATCTCCAGATTGAAAACTGTAGTCTTCTTTGAAGCTAGAATGGCATCCATACCTGAGGGTGTGTAGAATTCATGTTGAACAAATTGTAAATAAAACAACAAAGGAAAAACAAATGCATAGATATGCTGAAGCCCTTTTGCTCTGTTATCCTGAAGAAGTAATAAAGTGAAAAGGCCTTCGGCATATTCTTATGTTTTCCTGTTCTACCCTTTGTTGTTTTATTTAAGTACCTGAACATGCCTGAATAGGAAGGATGTCCTATATAGGTTGAAGAACACCACAATAAGCCTGTTCTGAGAAATAGGCAAGCTTCCGGTGATTTGCTTTTCCTTTGCACTCTTGTGGAAAGAAAAAAAGAATTATTCCTTTCTGAGATTCTGTGTTTTTAACTCATTGCTGCCTTGGATGGCATGTACATACATACCATGCCCACTGCGAGTTTAGTTTATTAATTGTATTTACACAGAGATACCTCCACAAGTGCTTAGTCACCAAGGATTCAACTATTAATCCTGCCTATCTCACTCAGTTAGGAGTGGAATTTGACTCCTTGGTGGCTGAGGAATTACTGACCTTCAATGCTTAGATACATTTCACAAAAAAATACTACAGCAAACATCACATTAGTGATTAGTAAGAATATTTTCCAGCACACACTGATGGCTGTGATATTTTGAGTAATTTCTGTTATATTATTATGCAGAGATTCTTCACCAGCTATAAATAGTATGAGTCTTAGAAAAGTTAGATGATAGATGTGTGGTATTTTTAAATGTACACATGGGGATTGTATTTCAATGGTGAAACAATATTGAAACTTGTAACTTATATTATTTTAATTTTTGATTTTCCAGCAAATCCTAGCCCTGACAGCACCGCCAGGAAGTCGTGATCCAAACAGACAGCAGAATAGTGGCTCTGCAGGTCCAGGCAGAGAAGGCCTTGCAGCACACCCATACTTTCGACGGCCAGGTCGTGGTCATAACCATGACTCCTGTGATGCTTGTGGTGAAGGTGGAGATTTGATTTGTTGTGATGTGTGTCCAGCATCTTTTCATCTTACCTGCCAGTGAGTAGTTTGCTCATGCTTCTGCTTGGGAATATGTTTTGGATGATAGAATTTTTAAATATTTTTTGGTAGTGTATGATGTATATGTACAGTATTGAGGTAAAGAATTCATAAGGTCATTAGGTTTGGTTTTGTTTATGGACTAATTTTGTAAAATGTATTTCAGTGATCCCCCCTTAGAAGAGGAGGAAATCCCAATAGGACAGTGGGCGTGTCATCAGTGTAGAGTGTCTGGGGTGAGTTGCTGCAGAAGAATTTTTAGGTTTTGTGGTTGCCTGAAAAATGGGTATTAAGATTTGTGAATAATTTCAGAAATCCAATTTTCAAAGCTTTTGGGGGAACTGATTCTAGATTCTTGCATAAATATTGATAAATATATTTGGCTTATGTCCATATTTTGACAGTTCCAAAATTTACGAAATAATGAATTATTGAAGATATAACAGGTAAAGTGCAAGAGTTCCAGTTATGACTGAACTATTTATAAATAACAACTTCCCCCCCCCCCTCTTAATGACCCTCTTCTCCATAGCCGGATGATGACAGAACATCAGTGTCAAGTGGCAAGTCAAACAAAAGCTCCAAAGGTGTCAAAAGGAAAGACAAGGAAGATGATAAGCCATCTTCATCCACTTCAGCCTCAGGGAAGTCCGAGGCAAGCGAGAAGAATGAGAAGAGGGTGTGCGCAGGAGGAAGGGAGTTTGAGATTTCCGACTCCCCCCTGTTTACGCTTATCAAAGCTGCGGCTGCTGTGAACCCCAAACAGTTCACCTTGCCCTATGAGATGACTTTACCTGTGTGCTTCCCAGGTGAACCTAAAAGTAGGTCTTGGTGTTCCTTTTAAATTTTGATTGTTATCCAATCTCTTTGATGATTTCTGTTGCATAGAGAGGCAGGTATGTAAGAGTGGATAGTGAATAATTTGTGCTTCATTGTGTATGTAAAATAACCACATTGTGTTGTTATGGATTTTATTGGACTAATGATATCAGCAAGCCAAATACTTTTTCACTGTATAGTTCTAATATATAAGACATATTTGATTTGGAAACTTCAAATTTTGCCTATTTTTTGTAGGATATCAATGCTTAATTATCTATTATATATTATAGATAGGAAACATTCAAAGCTGAGTTATACTCTTTTTCCTGCAGATATTTAGAAATAGTAATATGAACATGTACGAACACAGAACCAGAAATACATTTGGTATAAGTGATAATGTATTTTAGTTTGTAAGGAATTATAAAGGATTCTTTCA